TCAGTTTTTAAGTCCTGTCGGTACACCGCAAGTCGGCTAATTAACCAACTCAAAATATAATAAAAATAAAAAAATTGTTAAATTATGTTGCTGTTATAGTTCTCCTTGTCCCGAAACCAGGATCCCATTTTGGGGAGGACTCAATTTGCCTTTATAAAAAATTTCACGATAAAACTAGTGGCGCCCCTCCGACCATGTATGTACCGCATGAAACCGGGGAGGGCCCAACATGCGCGCTCAAAGGAAAATCTTCCAGTTCTAGCAAAATCCTGCACCCTTAGTTTAAATTTTTATTTTTTTTGGAGGGGCCGGCGCCACTCCAAACTTGTGAATAGTTTCGCCCCTGCCCCCACTAAACAACAACAAATAAATAAATAAACAAATAAAAACTTGCTCTCTTTTCTCGACCCCCTTCGATATGCTCCTCAAACTCAGGGAGGCCATTGGCTTTCTTTCCTCTCTTTTCTCTTTTGTCGCTCCTCATCTCTCACTTTCCTCAGCCAACTCTCCACAGTTCTCCTCTGCAGTTATATTTATTAAGACATATACTTGCGTCCGATGAAAATCCCGAAAATATCCTCCGATAGTGAACTCTTCAAGCACAGGACAACCGAAAAGAAGCTCTTTAAGGGAGACGGAAACCTCAATGTCCTTGAGGTGAAGCCTCTTTAGGGAAGGCAAGCTTATATCCCCCTTCCTTATTTCAATTTTGCGAGAAGCAACCGTCAAATCAACTATTGTTTCCGAAGTGAACATGTTACAGAGTATATTTCCTTCAATAGCCAGCACGTTAACCATCGGACAATAATACACAGGCTTTCTAGGGAGACGCCACACTCGAGACGAAGCCTCTTGAGGGCAAGCAAATACATTATGGCCTTATCATTTATGGAGTTGGGTAGATTTTTCCGAACAGTAAGCTCCTCAAGGCCCCCGGACAACCAGAAATCAGGTTTACGAAAGAGTCACCGAGCTCCACGCGCTCGAGATGGAGCCTCTTGAGGGAAGGCAAACACAGAGCGGTTTTGTTTGATCGTCAACTCCACCGGCACGTTTTCAAGAAGAGGCGCATTTTGTTTGATCGTCAACTCCTCCAGCACGGGACATCCGGAGAGCACGTATTCAAGGGAGTCGTCGAGAGTCACGCGCTCGAGATGAAGCCTCTTGAGGGCGGGGAGACTCGTGGCCCCATTCTTTCTAATTTCAGTTCTGCAGCGTACGAGCCTCAAATTGACCAGAGTCTTGGATGTGAACACGGAAAGAGGAATCACTGTGCCGTCATAGCCGAAGGAGAGATCGAGGGATTTGAGGTTGCTCGCAATGGCCGTGTTGACACTCTCGGATTTCCTGGTAAGTGCCCGAGACGTCACAAACAGGCGGAGCGTGACGGCGCTGTTATGGGCTGCGCGCTGGGACATAACCCGTTTAAAATTTTTACTGGATGTATCCTCGAATTCGAGGTTAGGGGCGTAGGCCCATAAATGGCGCCATCTTGTGGCGAGGGTGCTGGTCGAGACGGAGTCTTTGATCGGTAGATGAAAGAGAATCTGAGAGAGGATTTCGTCGGGCAAGGCGCTGAGCCGGTCCATTGGGGCGGCGGCCATGAATGTTGGGAAAGAGATGATCGGGAGTCCACAGCGAGACGATATAACGTATAAGATTGATTCAGTTACCAAAAATTACGCTTGTATAGAAATTATATTGGATTTTCTTCAATTGGTCTCCGTGATATTTGATCATCCTATTATTTCATCATATCTCAATAAATATTTGAACGATAGTTTTATTACGATGTGAGATTTTCACCATAACCTTTTTTTTTTTTAACTTTAGTTAAAATATATATGATATCTTTATTTGTTAAGTCCAATCGTATATTCCCTCAAGCTATGATTTTTAAATCACACCAACAATGATCCATTCCCAATTGAAATTTGATAATAACTACCAACAAGAGTTGACTCGAGTGGTAAGCAGTTTGACGCAGCTTGAGTAAAGTCTTGGTTTGGATTTTTATGAGTGCATAAAACTCTTGATGGGAGACTCACCAACCATTGACAGACGTGCAACCTTGGTCATCCAACGGATTAGTCGAGCAAGGCAAGATACTATGGTTGGATACCAAAAAAAATTCTTACTAAGTAAGATTGGCCCATGGCACACGAGGAACCACATGGCCCAATGGCCCATAGCTACTCAACTGCAAATTCGTAAAGGACTACGAGTTTAATATCGATATCTCTGCAACTGAATATTGATTCGCCACTCGCCAGCATACATTTAACGTCGATCCCTCTAATTATTGTGAACAAGAACCAACAGAGTGGTTGTCCAAACCGGTCTCATCATCAAAAATTATCAAAAATAGAAATTTGCATGAAGACGCGTGTTAGACTCCTTCCTCCTTAGTTGACATGCGATAATCATTGCCTTTTCACTTTATTTATATATAAATACCGTCTTTTTTTTCAGTACAAAGATGGAAGTCGAGGCCTAAAACTACGGTACTAGATTAGAACTCGACGCCAGTGGGACACCCCGATAATGTCGTACTCAAGCCACGAACTCATCCCTGCGGGAGGAGAATCACACTGATGCATGCCCAACGTGGAGGATGACGTCAAGGCCGCCATATGATCAGCCGCAAATGTGTATATAAAAAGAAAGCATATAAATATTATGTGACCGACACTCCAAACTCGTGAAAAATATACCAAACTAGTCGTGTATGGACTGTCGAAGAACAGTCTTGTTCGAACTCGAAAAAAAACAATTTAATCTGGCAATTTACTGAAATGCTCGGCATTCTCACGTGAGATGTACATATTAGAAAAAATCAGTTTTGATGCACATTAAGTTGCCCCATAAAGAGAAAGTGAATGGAAAAAATTAAAAGAAATGGATTAAAAATGGCCCGAGGCACTTTAACCTAACTTCAACCAGCGTTCTTTCTCCGGGCACCAAAATATATTAGGAAGTAAAAGATAAAGCAATTTAACCAAATGCTTATTTCAAATCATATGCATTTTATGACTACATTTGTCCAAAAAAAAAAAAAAAAAATACTTTTCCGGTCACTTCATACCTTAGGTAGTGCCTCGATGTAGTTTTCTGGAATTTCCATTTCTGCGGGGACCTGAGCATTTATAGCCATAGCTGCTTTTAGTATTTGGGTGACCGAATCCTTTTGATATTGCAACCATTTTCTCGTAGCCTCTGAAAGGCCATTTGGCGGGACTTTTGGGACTGGAATCCACCGCTTGTCGTCTTTTCTTTGGTTCTTTCCATCCTTAGAGTCCTCGTCATCCTTTGACGCGTAGTAGAATTCGTTTTGGTCTTTAAAGTTGTCTAGACATTCCTGTCTCCAATTTGCATAAGAACAAAAAAAAAATGAGTGTCACGCAAAAAAATACTAATAGAAAAAAAAAAATAATAATGAAAGCAAAGGGAAAATCTGCTCTAACAAGGAGCATATAGTCGAGCTTGCGTAAGGCTGGAATGTTCATGTGAAGATCATTTCTCTGCCTTGTTCCCATGATCTGTGGAAAGAAAAGAATATAAACTCCAATTAATAAGATAGATACAAGGCACACAGAACACGAAGCGCATACTAAGAAAAATTTACATACTTAGACAGAGAGAGAGAGAGAGAGGGAGAGAGAGAGAGAGAGAGAGAGAGAGAGAGAGAGAGAGAGAGAGAGAGACAGACCTCCATGCTGACTCCATCTTTTGTTTGTTTCGAAGGTGCAAATTCAACAATGTAATCGGTGACAGATAAGAGCCAATCGATCTATTTTTTCCATCTTGCTTTGGTATCTGGTGCCATGCATGGGCTCTAGCTTCTTCTGCTCTCCAAATGCAGAAGCTGCATGCAATTACAAAACGACATCGTAAAATAAGCCAGCCATGTTTTGCATGATTTTAACTAAGATCTCTTGCAAAAGTATCAACAAGGAATATCATAAAATTTTTTGTAACTTTTAGTGATGAAGAGTATCATATTTCCTACCCATTACAAAAAAAAAAGTACTGGCACCTGCTAAGTTCGTAATTGCATTTGACAAAGCCAAAGCTGAAGAAACACCTTTTCCCCCACCAGACATATCCTCACCCAGAAGCAACTTTGCGAATTTTTCCTTCATCAACTCCAAATCTGATCATATGAAAAGAAAATGGATCTATGAGAAGGCATATGAAATATGAACAAACAATAATACTCTTTAAACATTCTACAAAGCTACCTTTCACAATACATATGTGAAGGCTCTAGCTCACATTGCTCTATTAAAATGCTTGTCAATATTTTAGAAACCCTTTCCTGATCATAAATTTAAACCACATATGAATAGACAACAAAAAAAAAAAATAAAATATGAAGGCAGAACCACACCATGAACAGATTTAACACATTTGTAGTATATTTCAACACACCGAGTCTAATCTGTCAATATCCCCACTATACGTTCTAACACGAATGTGGAAGTTAAGTCTTTTGTCATCATAATATCCTTACACCAGTTTAAGATACACGAAAAAAATTGTACAAAAGCATTTCATCGAAAAAAAAAACAAAAAACATTAATTGCATATAAAACATAGATACACCTGCAGGTGTCTTATCTCGTGCACGTGGGCTGGCCATACTTCCGTGAACCAACGTTTTCCGGCGATTATTAATGATCTTGTCACTATGTATGGCTCCTAACATTCTGTTTTGAATCCCTTTCACGATTCAAAACAGAATGTCTACACGATTTTGGATCGGAAAAGTGATTATAGCGATTGACGAAAAAAGGTTGAGCTTTTTTTCTTCTTTTTTTTCTCTTTTCTTTCTTTCCTTCTTTTGGCTCCCAAGAATTGTGAATTAAAAAAACACGAGGGAAAGAGAAAAGTTGATGCAAAGTGGAAGCCAACAAAAAAAAAAAAATAATTTTTGGGGTCGTAATGGAATATTTGTTTCTTTTTTCTTTTCTTTTTTCTTCCTTAATTAGTTATCATTTCAGATCAATATTCTCTCTCTAGGAGAGCCGTGTTCTCCCAGGAGCCCTAATACTGCTTTAGGCAGGTAATATCCATCTGATCTTTTAGATTTTACCCCATTTCAGCGTTTTTTTTCTCCGTTTCTTCTTTTTCTGTTGATTGTTGTCTAGTGCTTCTTGTGTTTTCCCTGTTGTCCTTTCAGGGGCCTCGGGTTTCTCAGTCTTCTGGGTGCCATAAGTTCGATTCTCTCCATGGATGAGGATTTGGCTGTCAAACTGGGATCTATTCAGTTAGAAGGGAAAGAGAATGAGGATGTTGAAATAGAACCTGAGGATATTCAGTACAGTGCAGAAGAATGTCAACGAAGCCTATTTGGGAAAATTATAGGGCAAAAAAAAGCCAACATCGCGGGTCTCAGAAGGGCCATAGGGCAAATGTGGCAAATCCGATCCACAGTCAAAATTAAGGAAATCTCCAACAACTTCTTTCAATTCGTCTTCGCAAGTGCAGCTGACAAAGAAAAGGTCATGAAAGGCATTAACTGGACATATGAAAATCAATTCCTCAAGCTGCACAACTGGGAAGAAGGTATCACTGAAACCCATCCTTGCTTCCAAGAATTAGAAATATGGATCAGGCATGGAACATTCCTATTCACTGGATCTCAACTGAGGTGGGCCTAAAGCTAGGCAAGGTATTCAAAAGAACCATGGATGTCTCAGTTCCACAAGGGGGTCCATTGGCGGGGAGGTGTCTTAGGATCAAAGCAGCACTGGATATTAATCAACCCCTTCTCCGATGCACCAATCTCAAGCTAGGGGACAAAAAGTTTCAAATTTTATTCAGATATGAAAGATTGGTTAGCTGTTGTTTCTACTGTGGATTCCTGGGACATCTGGAAAAAAACTGTGGTAAGAGAGAATCAGACATTCTCAACGGTTGCCTAGCAGTAGGGCACTATGGAGACTGGTTAAAAGCGCAGGACATATACTACCCTACAGCTCCAAGTGCCTCTTTCACAGCTAACTCTTCCAGGGAAACTTCCCCTACTCCCACCCACTCCCCAATCAACCAAATCCAGAACTCAGACAGCAATAGATTTGACTCTCAAGCCAACTCCACATCCAAAGCTCTCTTGATAGCCCCCAACCAAACAGATACCCTAATTCAGCCCTTTCCCATCCCTAATTCTAATGTCATAGAACCCACCCTCATAATCCCCTCCTCTTCTAAGCCTGATCAGCTATCCCTTTGTAAACCTCAAGCCATGGAAACTGAACAAAGCTCAAAAACACCCATTGCTAACTCCATTATACAAGCACACTATCTAGTATCCCCCTCCTCTTCAAAACCTGCTCAACCCCCATCTCTATATAAGCCTCAAGCCATGGAAACTGAACAATCCATAAAAACTCCCATTACCAACCCCATTATACAAGCTCACTCTCAAGTATCCCCCTCCTTTTCAAATCATGCTCAACCCCTATCTCCTTATAAGCCTCAAGTAATGGACTCTGAACATATCCCCACCCAAGCACCAGTTTCTCAGCCCTCACCAGATACCACCCTTAATCAATCTCTGAATACCCAATCCACTCCTCCATTTCTGATTTCCAAAACACCT